GATGGCATGCTTATTTTCACGAGCTAATTGAGAGAACATTGGTCAGGCACTGTACTGTACCTATGCAATGGGAAAACACATCCCTGGAACTCTGGCATCTGGGCCTGCTAAAGAGGTGCTGATGCTGAGGAGAGTCATTCATGACATTATTTGTAACTTCCACATCCTTTTCTACTTGTTGATCTGCATTGCTTCCAGTTTTTGCCTCTCCAATTAGCTCTCTTTGGGCAATGACATCTCTTATATCTACTATTTCCAAAAACATGGGTTCCCAAAGTGTGGAACTTGTTAGAAACACAAATTCTTTGTCTTTACCCTTGTCCCATTGAATCAGAAACTTTGTTGTGGGGCTCAGAAATTTGTGTTTTACAAGCCCCCCAGATAGCTCTAATTCCTGTTAAAACTTCAGAATCTCTGCCTCAAACTAACTATTGGTTAATCATGCCCTCCAAACATGAATTTTTGGTTCTTCTCTTCTTAGGTTCACATCCTCAGCTATCTTATCCTATGACCTAAACTCAGGAAATACTAAAACAGAGAAACTAGAGAAAAATCACTTTTAGCACTGAAAATATTTTTTCCACAGTGTGAATAATGGCATATTTTATAGACACAGTTTATAGAGAAAATTTTATGTTTGAACTTTATAGTCATAACAAGGAAGACTGCATGGAAGCTGAAGGCTAAAATATACTGTATTAAATGTGTTCTGAACTTTTCAAAACTCAATTTGGATTTGTAGGCTTAGAACACAGATGGAATCTGGGGGAAGCTCTTCAGCACGATATATTTGCGATCAAATTTTTGGTTATGACATCAATACAAGAAAATTTCCAGTGCTGTTATCTCCATGTCTTACCACTTAACTAATAATTAAAATAGACTTTTACCAACTATTTGTGATACCTTTTAAAGAATGTATTCTCTAACTTCTAGATTTTACTTAAAGTTTAATTTAAAACTCTGTATAAAGAAGATACTTGCAAGGAAATTGTTTGTGTGTGTGTGTGTGAAAGAGAGAGAGAAAATTCACAAATCTTATAAGGATGAGTTTTAATCTTATTGTGAGAAATTATATGCTCTGGAATGGAGATAAGAGATCACTGAGTACCTTTTATTTTAGAAAATATGTCAGGGTTAGTCTTTTCATCTGAGTACCTTTTATTGTCTTCTTTTGACTGGGAATTCTCTTATTGCTAAAATTGGTGGATAAGCTCAATGATTGTTCTAATCACTGAGTCCATATACAGCATCCCCATTATATGAAAAATTTTGTTGTAGGTACTCACTGACAAAAATTACTGGGTACTTCTCAGGTGTGTGAACAATTGCTGAGATGAAATGGTTTACTTCCTCATCGCACTTGACTAACCATTGACCTGTCTGAATACAGAAATTTATCAGTCCTCGAGTCTGGGGTGGTGGGCTCTTTAAAATACTTGAATCTGAGGTATATTCCTTGTCCTAACACGGGCTCTGGTTTCCAGTTTGTGTGTGCCATGAGCAAAGGAATTTAGCAGTTCATACAGCCACAAAGTATGTTTCCTGGTACAGATGCAGAAATATTAGTGTTTTGCTCTCTAAATATCTTAGGCAGGGCTGTATCATCTGTTTCACAGTCTTCAGGTCATCTTTCTACTCCAATGCTTGGCTCTCAACATGCATTGGAATACTTAGAGGGCTTATTAAAACATAAATTGTTGGTGTCCATGCCCAGAGTTCCTGGTTCAATAGATGTGGGGTGAGGGTGAGTATCTGCACGTCTAACAAGTTTCCAGATGATGGTGATACTGATGCTCCAGGGAGCACACTATGAGAATGATTGTTCTAGTGCAGTCTTTCTCACAGCCAGATACTCGGATCCTCACATCAGAATCACCTGGATTGCCTAGTAGTTTGCAGATACTCAGGACCTATGCTGATGCTTGAATGCAAATCTCCAAGTGGTTCAGATGCACACTCGCATCTGAGAAACAGTGAGGAGGGAGGCCCGGGGATACTGTTTATCACGAAAAACACAGATCAAGTCTCCTCTCAAACATTACCAATTTTACGTGGCTTCTAGTAGTTGCTTTATACATAGTAGTTGAATGAATTAATGACACATGTGAGCAGTTAGTTGCTACTTGCTGTTTGCTCCCAGCACCTTCTCTTTATTTTACTATAGAATACATTACCTGTACTTTTTTTTTTTTTCCTTTTTGTCTTTTTTACTGGCCGGTAACGGGATCGCAACCCTCAGTGTCGCACCCGTACTGGGGACCGGCAACGGGATCGCAACCCTCAGTGTTGTGCCCGCGCCACGCTCAGCCAGTGAGTGGGAACTGGTCACCACATGGGATCCGAACCCTCGGCGGGAGCGCTGCTGCGCTCCGCACTCTCCAGTGCGCCACCGGGCCGGCCCATACATTACCTGTACTTTAACAGCTTGCTTTCTTGACTCTTTCCATTCTAGGCAGGGACCTTACCTTTTCTTTGTTGTATCTCTAGTGCCATATCCAGTATCTGGCACATAATATGTATATCATCAGTGTTAAATAGTATATCTCTTGGAGTAAGCCTGAAAGAGCAGTGGCATGAATTGTTTAACTCCATTGGTTTCTTTGAATATATATTGAAATGTTGGAAAAGGAGGGCCAGCAGGTTGGTTCAAGTGTAATATGAAGACTGAGATCATAGCTAGAAAAGCCACAACCAAGTCCAAAGGAATAGGGCAGTGCCAAGATACAGCCTTAAGTCAGGGGTCTGGAGCATAAAGGTCATTTCATATGATGAGTACACACATGCCGTACAGTTAGGAAAGATGCACTTCAAAAGAGAAAGGAATAAAAGGGAAAAGGAAATATCCAGTTTGATGAGGCTAGAGTGTGATAAGGAATTTGTGGGTGGTCAGAAATATCAAAGACTGTAAAAAAGGGTCAGAACATGACAAATGGCAAGTTAGGCACTTCATTTACCACAAATTAAACTTGTTGGATGAATTCATTTGATATTCCAACTCCAGTTATTTTTCTACTTTTCTAAGCCAGAAAATAAGCAGGACTTTAATCATGCTGGTCTACTCATATGCTGAAAAGTCTAGAGTAGAAATGCACCATGGTATGGAGAGCAGTTCCTGGTACCGTGGTTGAAATCAAGCATTGTTTAAATACGAATGTTCTTATTTCTGCTGTTGTCCACACCCATTGTCTAAATTCTAAACCTTGTTGTTGTCTTCTTGAATAGGTTTGCAATGCCCTGATTTTGAAGTCTTGATTTATTTCCTGCTCAATGCTGCACCATTGCCTCCCAGATTACAGACCTTTTTTTATTGCATCCACAAATTATTGCATTTTCAGTTTCCTGTCCAAACCACATAGGTTCCTAATCTAGAGTCCACTTTATTCTTTGAGGTCTGTGTGCATCTGTACTGAATGCTGCCATCATGTCTGGCCCAGTCATAGGCTGGTCTACTCTCAGGTCTGTCTCGGCTATCTGGGTCTAAAGATCCTTGCACTGGTTTCACAGGTTTTGTTAATATGGTCCCCACTATAGTCTCCTCATTTACATTACTGATGCTACCCATATCCCTTTCCAAGAGCACACAGGGTAAAATTAGATTGTCTTCTATTTCAATGATATATTTAGAGATGAGATGCCAAACTTTCCAAGGAAAGTGGTTTTATGACCAACTCAGAGGTTCAGAACCTAAGGAAATTTAAATCTTCTTTCAAATTATATGAGAATTAGGTTTTCAGAAAACATAGTGTATGTTAAAATCATTCAAAAATTCTTTGGTTTAGATTCTGGGCTCAAAACATTATAGGCAGGTTTTTTGCTAAAGCTTTGGCAGGACATTCAAAAGTAGTGAAGTATGTGGGAAATTATTCACTGCGTGGGAATGTCCCACTCACTGCAGAACAACCAGCATTCTTTGACAAGCTAAAGAAATAATAGCCACATCTCTCATCATTGTGGCATCCAAAACATGCCCACAAATCTCTCAAATGTCCCCAATGGGTTAATGCCACTTCTAATGAGAACCACTGGCTTATTCAACTTTCAATAGCTGGGGTTGGAGAGGAACCCACAGAAAGTGTGGGTTTTCACAGCCTGAACAAAAATCAGCAAGAAGAGTAGGGGATGACTATTGGGTAGGCGTCCACCAGTGTGCCACAATGAATGGGCCAGATGAGATTCTGTAGGGTCCCTTCCGGCTATAGAATCCATACTATATATGTCATAAAGTATAATATAAGAGCATTTATGGATAAATAATAATGTATAATGTAAATATCCGTATACATATTTATTATGATTCAAAATTTCAAGAACAGACTTCAATTATTAGATATAATTGATAAATGAACTTCTCTTAAAGATAAACAAAAAAATGCAACAATTGAGATATTTAAAATCTAAGTTTCCAAAAAAATTAAGTGTCATGTAGCATTTAGGTTAATGTTAATCTGGACTAAAATTTTTCATTGCTTAATTCAGGATAATGGCATTTTTGGTATTAATGAGAACAATAAAGTCAACAATGTTTAATTCAAATTTACCTAATTAAAATAATTAAAACTACATGTTATTTTGTATCTATTTTTTCTGAGGAAGGGTTTTAGATACAATCTTTTATCCTTCCTCATATGACTATTATAATGGATAATCAGTGATCACCTCTGTCTTACTTGAATCCTGAAGTATCCAGTGTAGTCTCTGAGACTAGTATATGTTCAGTAGATGTTTGATCCATAAATGAATGGTTTTAATAAGACACTTTGGAAAACATCATGTGAATCAAATCTGATTATTCTATTATGAATAATTTTATGTTGAAAAAAATTCCTTTGTACTTTTTTTCTAAGTTCTTTTACTCCAGGTAATCTTGCATGGCCTAATACATATTTTTTCCTATGTGGACTACATGAACTAGATGATAGATAGCTTAGTATTAGCAATCATTAAAAGAATAGGCTTCTCTGTCTCATTCTTCTTGTTCGTGTCTCATGTTTTTGTTGTTCTTTTTGACAGGGATTCGATAAACAAGTGGATGTGTCATATATTGCCAAACATTACAACATGAGCAAAAGCAAAGTTGACAACCAGTTCTACAGTGTGGAAGTGGGAGATTCAACCTTCACAGTTCTCAAGCGCTACCAGAATCTAAAGCCTATTGGCTCTGGGGCTCAGGGAATAGTTTGGTAAGTAGAATGGATTTAAGTCATATTTTTAAAGAGAACATGTTTTGTGCATCTACTAGACACAAATATACAAATAGAAAACCCTAAATAAGTAAATAGCAAATAGTCTTGGGAGGAGAAAATACATTCTACTGAAGAAATAAAATTATACACATTATCTATTATTCATTACCCAGTTGTTAAAAATAACTACATCTTGCATTGTGACACATTTTGCTGGTCACCAGAGAAAAACAATCCATTACACAAGAACCATAAAGAAATCAAGAGAACCAGTTTTCTAGTTGTTGCTAATGTATTTAGAAAATTTTATTTTTATGTTTCATATCAAGAAATTAGGGGCCACATCTTAAAATAACAGCAAATAAAACCCCCTACATATTAAAGAGGGATTGATATCGTAAATGTTCCTGTGACTTTCAAAGTTCAATTATTAAAATTGAGTTACTATATAGAAAAAGTCGTATTTTAAAAATGTTTGCCTAATATTTCCAAAATGAGGAGATTCTGGGCTTTTTAGTAACCTTTTATGACATTTTTGAGTGGCTAATTGAAATCATAACAAATAAATCTGATTTAACTGTTATTAAAACTCTTGCAAAACTAATGATATCAGTTTAATTGATAAGCATTTCCTTTAGTTTTAATTTGTAATGTAGCAACCAAATGCATATAATATAAACTTATTAGAATAATAATTTTCAATATGAACTTATTAGTATAATAATTTTCAATCTTTTTGATGGCTCACACCAATAAGAGAAAATTTAGGACATGCACCCTGAATATGTATAGTTATATTTATGTATGTATATTTATTTATTTATACAATGTATTCATTTGTTATATAAATTACTGCTATATTAATAACGTCCATTTAAAAACACAAAACCTGGGCTGAGCCCGTGGCACACTCGGGAGAGTGCGGCGCTGGGAGCGCAGCAGCGCTCCCGCCGCGGGTTCGGATCCTATATAGGGATGACTGGTTTGCTCACAGCACTCACTGGCTGAGCATGGTGCGGCCGGTCTCAAAAAGGACAACAAACAAACAAACAAACAAACAAACACAAAACCTTTTAAGGGATAAGATGAAGATGAAATAAATATTTAATTAAAAAAAATTTAGGCTCCTTTTTTACTCATTTGAAATATTAGCAATTTTAGTGATAGCAATGGCTATTGGATAATGGATAGTCATTATTTTTCAAGACTTCATTTTATATTTCATAAAACTATTTGAAAATATGGTTCACTTCATTCTGAGGACTGGTTTAGGTTCAGGCTCGATGCTTAGTCAATGCAAATGCAGAAGTGCACTGCTGGTGCACTACTGAATAGTAATGCTGGACTTAAATCTCACTTACCAAATATACCAAGGCTTTGGTTGAAATTCACATAGCTAATTCCCATTTTTCTTAACATCAAGCAGGATTTTGCAATTTGAAAGACAGAACATTTTTATATAGTTAGAATGGGCCAGACTTTCATTTAGAAACAAGTAAAGAAATTTTCATTTTCAGTTTTTATTTTTTATGGTGCAGGTATGAAGTGAACCTCTTTGTGGCACAAAATAGTTTCATGGTATGGTAGGCAGAATAATGGTCCCCCAAAGATGCTCAGGCCCTGGTCCCCAGAATCAGTGAATATGTTACCTGGTAAGGCAAAGGGATTTCACAGATGTGATTGAGATTAAGAACTTTAAAGTGGGGAGATTACCCTGGAATATCCAGTTGGTATCAATCTAATCGTAGGTCCTTAGAAGTGAAAAAGGTAGGGAGAAGAATGTGTCAGAGAGATGCAATAGGAGAAAATGGAGAAGAGATTTGAAATATGACAGACTTGCCTTGTTGCTGGCTTTGAGGATGGGGGAAGTGGGACCATGAGCCAAGAATGTGGCTGGCTTCTAAAAGCTGGGAATGGCTGTCAGCTGACAATAGCCATCAGCAAGAAAATGGAGACCTCGGTCCTACAACTGCAAGGAATTGAAATGTGACAATAATCCGAAAGAGCAAGAAAACAGATTCCCCTCTGTCACCTCCAGAAAGGAACTCAGCCTGCCAGCATCTTGGAGTTAGCCCAGCTACACCTGTGTAGGACTTCTGACCTACAGACTTGTAAGATAATAAATTTGTGTTGTTTAAGCAGCTAAGTTTGTGGTGATTTGTTGAGGTAGTAATACTATTACACTTGGTAAAGATTCTAATAGTAAGATAATTGCTGTAAATCTCCTAAATTTACCAGAGGAGGGAGAAAAAGGAATGATCCTTGGCTACCTTTCTTTGGTGGAAAAGTGTAGCATATTCACATGAGAAAGTTTTCCTCACTAACATTCTCAGTTCAGGTGCTCAAGTTCTGCGTGACATTTACAGCAAAGACGTAAGCTTAATATAGCCTAGAAGCATAGAATTATTGTTTAAAAAATGCCCTAAAAATTAAATATTTAGAAATAAGATGACATTCTGCGTGACATTTACAGCAAAGACGTAAGCTTAATATAGCCCAGAAGCATAGAATTATTGTTTAAAAAATGCCCTAAAAATTAAATATTTAGAAATAAGATGACATATTTTATGTTTACTGAACTTTTCTAAAATCCCACTTAGGGCTAGAGGATGGCATTTAATCAAAGTTAAAATAATTATAGTTATAAGATGCCATGGTAATAATTCAGTGGATTGGCTTATCGTAAATGGGCTATGTATTTATATATGTATATATAATGAATATATAACTGATGATTATTATATATGTGTATACAGACTAATACAGATTATTTTATCTTAATCAAATAGATATTATATATGCTATTTTTTAATTAAAAACTTGAAAATATTTGTTTTTATGTTTTACAGCAATTCAACATTTAATATATTCCTTAATACTTTGTGTTTCATTTTGCTCATCATAATTCTATTTTTAATTCAGTTTCATTTATATTTATTTTTGTGGGGTACAGTGTGTTGTTTCAATACATGCCATCCCGCCCTTCCCAGCTTCTGGTAACCATTATTCTTACACTCTCTATTATCTTCTTTTTTTACACACAAAGATTAACATCCTTCTTACAAAAAGAACTCTTAAAAATGAATTAGAAAAATCTAAGCAGAAATTTAGAGAAGGACATGAGCAGATAAGTCACGCACCTCAAAGAAACACACGTGGTTAATAGGTGCATTCTAGGATCTGGGTACAGGCAGGGGTGGGGCTGGCCTGGCATCTGTCTCAGGATCCCAGGCATCAGCTGGTTCTGTTGCTGGCATAGATGTACAATGAGAGTGGGGCTAAGGCCCATGGCCCCCATCTCAGGACCCCTGGGTGGGCATCAGGCTGGCTCTGTTCCTGGTTGCTGGCCTAGATGTGTGGTGGTGAGGGTGGGGCTGAGGCCCACAGGGCTCTATATATGCTATTAAAAAAAAAAGAAAAAAAAATATATATGTATATAATGTATTTAGGATATATTAGGATATATAACTTTTTGTATTTCACAAATATTTGAAAAATTATTTCTGGTGAATGTCCTCCAATTAATGGTCTTCAGTAATAAGACCCTACAGATAAACAATATAAGACTTAAATTGCCAGGCACGTTCAGCAGAAACTCAGATGTTTACATATCATTATTTAAAGAAGGGCTTGTGGCTTATCTCATCACCTTCCTTTAAGAAGTGGATGCTGGTGGGTATAGTGAGCTGGTTAGCAAAGTCCTGGCAGCCTGGTCAGGCTAAGGGTTAAATAGACTAAAAAGAAGTCTAGAATTTCTATACTTTTGGCTTTTGTTTGTTTGATGTGTGTGACCTACACTGAAGGAGCACAGGGATAGAAAACTGTTAGATTCGGTGAGATGGAGAAAAGGGAGAGAGAGAGAGAGACAGAGACCTGAGCCAGGTGCCATTTCAGCCAAGAGGCTTTATTCCACCAATGTGGGGGGGAGACAGATCAGTTTCCCCAAACAAAAGAAAGCAGGGGTTTTATATTACTTTGAGGGAGGGCTCTGGCAGAGTAATGAGCAATTTCGAAATCAGTGGTATGCAAGGTGACACAGCCCTTGTGGTCCGCTAACATCTGGTTGGTTAGAACATAGGCTTCTGATTAGGTGTCACCACTATATCAGTACAAAGCATTCCTCCCAGCCCAGCCCAAAGCCTGCTACCGCAGCCCACAAGATGCTCCTTTGGTGATAACGGTTATGCTTACCCCTTCCCAGGAGAGGAATTTCGATGACCAGTTCCTGGAGCACAAAAGGGATAGGAGAGGAGGAAGAGGATGGAAAGTTGCTTAACATTGGTGTGCTGATGTTAAGCTAGCCATGAGGCCTAATAAAAACATTCAACAAGTGTTAAGTAATAAGTATTAATTACTGTGGTGCAAAAAACTAAGTTTGTTACAGCATTTTATCCAGTGGGTCCTTCACTGGCCCAGTATCTGATACTGCAGCTATATTATCTTGGCACATATGCGTCAACATGTATGTGTTTAAACCTTGCTTACTTCCAAATAGGACTTAAATTGATGAAACAAATAGGTGTGACTTACTACACTTTTAACACATAAGGGACTTTGGGGAGTGATGGTTAACATATCCCTCTGCGTGGGGTTGCTTGAAGTATTATAAGGCAGAACAAGCAAAACTACTCTCCAGGGAGTCTAATTGTTAACTGAAAATCTACCCCCATGCCTCAGATACTAAGGATGTAGAAGGAAAAGGTTTTTTGCATGGTTTGTTTTGTTTTAGTTTTTCTCGAATGTGAACACAGTTTGCACCTTTGCCTTCCCACTTCCATGTAGTACTAGTAGGTCGAATTATTACGGGCAGGGCACAGCACTTGTCCAAATACAAACCAAACCAACCAACAAAGCTAGAACCAAACAACAACAAAAACTCTGAGTTTGTCTAAATGCTCAAAAGTATCGCTGTAATAAAAAAAAATTCCAAGTCAGATTAGTAGTCATTGTCCACGCAATCATCTTGAAATAATGATAGCCATTATGTGCTTAAAAAA